CCCCCCCCCCCTCCCTTCCGCACTTCAGGACCTGCTCGACTACGCACGGCTGGACCGCGTCAGCTGAAAGGCACACGCAGGTCAGCACAGGAACTGAAACTGGCTGGTGTGCCCTGGCCATCACCAAGCGGCCCTCACTGGGGCCTTCGCTGCTGGGACCCATGAAAGAGGCCTGCTGCCTCGGCTGCTGGAAGCCCTGGTGGTCTGGGCCCAGTGGGTGTCTGACCGCCTTAGCGACCACCTCAGCTCTAGTTCCCATGGGGTCAGTTGAGGAACCAGGTCAGGCCTGCAGCTGCAGTCCTCAACAGGGACCCTGCCTCTGGGTTTACTCCCAGACAGGTGGCGCAGGGGCATCAGGAGCAGGGCTCGGGGACTGGACTCCACTGGCCAGCTTGCCAACAAGGGCCCAGCAACATAGCAGCTAGAACCCAGATAGCCCTGGCACGGATGGCAGTCCACGGGGGTCACCAGCAGAGGTAACATGGTGATGCAGTGATGTGAACGTGGGGAAGGAGTTCCTAGGACAATGGGGCCTGGGTGGCTGCACTGAGCACACGGGCTGGAGCAGACAAAGGAGAGGAGGAGCGAGGAGACGTGGCCAAGAGCGAGGGCCAAGGACAGAGCTGGCTCTGTGGCCGCAGGGACCACATCCAGGGCTGCAGACTGGTGGCCAGGGAGGCTGTCATGCAGACCCTGACCCATGGGACAGGGATTCCAGGCCTGGAAAGCTTGAATTCCTGGACTCCCTGGAATTCTGTGAGGCTGCAGGAGACGGCACCCCTCCCTGTGACAACCCAGTGCTTCCCGCCTGTGTGCAGAGACATGTGAGGCCGCTCAGAAGATGGCATGCATCACTGCAGAACTTGACCACCTCCAATCCTGTCCCCAAAGCCGAGGAGCATGGACTGGGCCTGACAGCAGTGACCAGCAGCAGCCAGGGGCAGCCTGGATCAGAGACAGGGAGCTGAACTGGGAGGACTCCATAGACACAACACAGCAGGGCCCCCAGCATGTGGTGCACACAGACTAACGGGTCAGCCCTAAGTGAGCGGGGCCACCAGGACTGCCATGGGACAGAACTGATGCAGCGCCAAAGGCTGAGGTAGCCGAGGGCACCCCCCCACACACACACACACAGAGGTGAGGCGCCACCCTGTTCAGCACACCAGGGCTGCCTACGGTCACTGCCACAGGGAGGCCAAGTGGTTGTGCCAACCAGCAGAACCAAACGGATGCAATGACTGTGATAAACTGTGAGGCAGAAGGGCAGCCATAGGGCCTGGTGGCAGAGTTGTGGGAATAGAACGGAACACAACTTCCCTGGGGACAGACATACAGCAGTCCACAAGACGGACTGGCCAGATGACAGGATGCTGAGGGCAGTCGCCCCCTGCAGAGAGTCAATTTCAAGCCCAAGCCCCATCTCTGGGTCTGAGCAGGGTTCACACCTGGAACCAACTGCTGGGGAAGGGTCCCCAGGAGGGGGACCTACCTGCAAAGAAGGCAAGGACCCCTGAGCTCCTCCCCACAGGGACAGACCCATTTACTCAGGTGCCTGTGTGCAGGGAAAGGGACACCTCACATGCCACAGACTACTGGACACAGGCCTGAGTCAGTTTCGAGACCCAGGAACCTGATGCATCATCACGGCCCCTTGGGGCTGGCCGCTGGGGGTCCACTGCATCCAGGGGCCCAGCGGGGGTCAGGCCCCAATCTCTGAACATTCACTTGGATTATAAATCATCAGTAGCTGGTGCAAAAGCCACACTGGGTTTTGGGGAAGCTGAGAGGGCCTCACTCAGTGCCTCCTGCTCCCCAGCCAAGGTGGCGAGTCCTAGTGACGCTCCCATCCAGGGCATGGGGGAAGTGCCCCTAAAGAATCAGACAGACACACAGGGGTGGCCCTATACTCCATTTAGTTCCCTGGGTTGCTTCTGAAGAAACCAGAGGAGCGCTGGTCAAAGTCAGACCAGCAGAAGGTGCAATCGTAGCCGCACGCAGTGACCTCCGACCTCCAGGTCTGAGTGAGCAAGGCTCTTCTAATGGCTGGAGAGAAAATGGGGCCTGTTACCATAAGGAACTGAATTCCACCAAGAACGAGCTTGGAAGCAGCTCTAGACAAGGACCTGGCCCAGGGGACTCCTTGATTCCTCCTTCTGGATGCTAAGCAGAGAGCCCAGCCACACTGCCTTAAACAGAGGCTCGGGGGCTTGCCAGACCAGTAACACCTTTAGGGGTCCTGTAGTCAGGCGCATGACAGGCCATCGCATCCCAAGGAGAACACAAGTCGCTCCATCTCACCCCCCTCACCAGTGGGGAGGTCCTGCAGGCGGCATGCTGCCCACCCAGAGCGCTACCTCTTCAACCACGCCTCGGACTCTGAATGACGCAGGGCAGGAAAGGTCCTCGGCGGGCCCGGGCCTTATGGCTGGCAGGAAAAGAGTTATGTGGTCCAAGGCAAGGCCCAGGGAAGAAACACAGGGGACCCTGGGATTCTGGAGCAAGGCCATGCCACCTGCCACAAAGAACCACACACCTTCAAAGGACATGCTCCAAGGTGACCAAGTGCACCTTGCCCACAAGAGACCTCATGACTATGTGGTAAGAGAGAACAGACACCTTGGGACTGAGCCTGCACTGGGCCAGGGGCACCAGCTGCATGCATGTCACCTACCATCAAGGCACCAGCACCCTCCTCTCAGCTCCTACTGCAGCCACACAGGGCCAACAGCTAGCTGACAGGAGAGGAAAAGCCCAAGCCAGGTTAATAGGCTGATCAGCATGTGGGCAGGAGCTGCTGGCTACAGATGGCCAGCCTGTCATCAGCCGCCACCAGGTAGGCACATGCACAGAGTGGCCAAAGGCAGGGACAGACCTCTGCACAGGAGGCAAAAGGCACCAGCTCCCACTGAGCCCCAGCATGACACCAGTCCCAGAGGAGGCCAGCTGGCCACTCGGTGGCCTTTTCACTACACTGGGCCCAGTCTGGAAGGGCCAGCAGGTCACTCTGGTAAGACAGATACAAATCTGCTCAGTGTTTGCCTTTCCTGTGCACAGGGCTCAGCCTGACCTCTAGTCAGTGGCTCCCAGAGAGCACCATCTGGCTGCCAGGCCCCCACCAGCATCCACCAGACCAGGGACACACCTCGCAGAAGGCAGGTGAACAAATGGCCCATGACCATGAGACCTGCCGGTCATGCCACATCCCTGGGCAAATCACGTCTACAGCTGCTTCCCAGGACCAGCAGACAAGGAGAGAGGTCACCGAGGCCCCTGGCGCCGCGTGCTGCGCCCCCAGGCTGCCTGGCCACTTTGCCAGAAAAAAACAGAAAAAAATTCTTCACCAGTGGCTCCTGCAGGTCTCAGCATGCAACAGGACTCCGCTGTTAACCTGCTGTGTGTTTCCAGTGTTTTTTTCCCATGTGTATATCCACTGCGCCCTGCTCCCAGCTTGGGCTAAGTGTCTGTGGAGTGTGAATGAACATGAGGGAGGGAGTCAGAGACGTCAGGCAGCCCGGCAAGGTCTGGCCACCTGTGGAAGGAGGCAGCAGGCACGGGCAGGCCTCCACAGAGGTGAGCAGAGGGCCTCGCAGGCAGGGAGATGCGCAGGCTGGGGAAGTGCTGAGACAGGGGCAGACAGGCACAACTCCAGCCCGTCACCAACCTGACCAGTTTCCCAGTGTGCTCTGCCAGCGGGGTGGGCTAGCTGAGACTGCTAACGAGGCCGCCCTGCTCCTGTAAGCGTGCTGCATGGTAGCCCCACTTCTGTGAGGTACGATCTACATCTCGCTCACTTTCCTGCTAGTCTCTTCTTCCTCAATGATCCTACAGTCCTGGATATACGTTGTCTCTTGTCAGTGTTGAAAGTATCTTCTCCCCCTGTAGCTTGTTGATTTCTTTTTTTTAACTCTTTATCATCTTTTAATGAAAAAGAAGTCAACTTTAAGTGGCTGAATAGTCTTTTCCTTTGTGGCTATTAGTTTTATATCCTTTATAAGAAATCACAAGGACACAAAGACACACTCCCACATTATCTTCTTAAAGCTCTAGATTCTCAAGGCTGACACACTATTTTACTCTGATAAATATGGATTGTTTTTTTCTGCCCTGTTTTAGGAGCAAAAAGTAAGAATTGTGGAGGGTGAGAAAGAACTCAGTGCCTCCTGCTCCCCAGCCAAGGTGGCGAGTCCTAGTGACGCTCCCATCCAGGGCATGGGGGAAGTGCCCCTAAAGAATCAGACAGACACACAGGGGTGGCCCTATACTCCATTTAGTTCCCTGGGTTGCTTCTGAAGAAACCAGAGGAGCGCTGGTCAAAGTCAGACCAGCAGAAGGTGCAATCGTAGCCGCACGCAGTGACCTCCGACCTCCAGGTCTGAGTGAGCAAGGCTCTTCTAATGGCTGGAGAGAAAATGGGGCCTGTTACCATAAGGAACTGAATTCCACCAAGAACGAGCTTGGAAGCAGCTCTAGACAAGGACCTGGCCCAGGGGACTCCTTGATTCCTCCTTCTGGATGCTAAGCAGAGAGCCCAGCCACACTGCCTAAAACAGAGGCTCGGGGGCTTGCCAGACCAGTAACACCTTTAGGGGTCCTGTAGTCAGGCGCATGACAGGCCATCGCATCCCAAGGAGAACACAAGTCGCTCCATCTCACCCCCCTCACCAGTGGGGAGGTCCTGCAGGCGGCATGCTGCCCACCCAGAGCGCTACCTCTTCAACCACGCCCCGGACTCTGAATGACGCAGGGCAGGAAAGGTCCTCGGAGGGCCCGGGCCTTATGGCTGGCAGGAAAAGAGTTATGTGGTCCAAGGCAAGGCCCAGGGAAGAAACACAGGGGACCCTGGGATTCTGGAGCAAGGCCATGCCACCTGCCACAAAGAACCACACACCTTCAAAGGACATGCTCCAAGGTGACCAAGTGCACCTTGCCCACAAGAGACCTCATGACTATGTGGTAAGAGAGAACAGACACCTTGGGACTGAGCCTGCACTGGGCCAGGGGCACCAGCTGCATGCATGTCACCTACCATCAAGGCACCAGCACCCTCCTCTCAGCTCCTACTGCAGCCACACAGGGCCAACAGCTAGCTGACAGGAGAGGAAAAGCCCAAGCCAGGTTAACAGGCTGATCAGCATGTGGGCAGGAGCTGCTGGCTACAGATGGCCAGCCTGTCATCAGCCGCCACCAGGTAGGCACATGCACAGAGTGGCCAAAGGCAGGGACAGACCTCTGCACAGGAGGCAAAAGGCACCAGCTCCCACTGAGCCCCAGCATGACACCAGTCCCAGAGGAGGCCAGCTGGCCACTCGGTGGCCTTTTCACTACACTGGGCCCAGTCTGGAAGGGCCAGCAGGTCACTCTGGTAAGACAGATACAAATCTGCTCAGTGTTTGCCTTTCCTGTGCACAGGGCTCAGCCTGACCTCTAGTCAGTGGCTCCCAGAGAGCACCATCTGGCTGCCAGGCCCCCACCAGCATCCACCAGACCAGGGACACACCTCGCAGAAGGCAGGTGAACAAATGGCCCATGACCATGAGACCTGCCGGTCATGCCACATCCCTGGGCAAATCACGTCTACAGCTGCTTCCCAGGACCAGCAGACAAGGAGAGAGGTCACCGAGGCCCCTGGCGCCGCGTGCTGTGCCCCCAGGCTGCCTGGCCACTTTGCCAGAAAAAAACAGAAAAAAATTCTTCACCAGTGGCTCCTGCAGGTCTCAGCATGCAACAGGACTCCGCTGTTAACCTGCTGTGTGTTTCCAGTGTTTTTTTCCCATGTGTATATCCACTGCGCCCTGCTCCCAGCTTGGGCTAAGTGTCTGTGGAGTGTGAATGAACATGAGGGAGGGAGTCAGAGACGTCAGGCAGCCCGGCAAGGTCTGGCCACCTGTGGAAGGAGGCAGCAGGCACGGGCAGGCCTCCACAGAGGTGAGCAGAGGGCCTCGCAGGCAGGGAGATGCGCAGGCTGGGGAAGTGCTGAGACAGGGGCAGACAGGCACAACTCCAGCCCGTCACCAACCTGACCAGTTTCCCAGTGTGCTCTGCCAGCGGGGTGGGCTAGCTGAGACTGCTAACGAGGCCGCCCTGCTCTTGTAAGCGTGCTGCGTGGTAGCCCCACTTCTGTGAGGTACGATCTACATCTCGCTCACTTTCCTGCTAGTCTCTTCTTCCTCAATGATCCTACAGTCCTGGATATACGTTGTCTCTTGTCAGTGTTGAAAGTATCTTCTCCCCCTGTAGCTTGTTGATTTCTTTTTTTTAACTCTTTATCATCTTTTAATGAAAAAGAAGTCAACTTTAAGTGGCTGAATAGTCTTTTCCTTTGTGGCTATTAGTTTTATATCCTTTATAAGAAATCACAAGGACACAAAGACACTCTCCCACATTATCTTCTTAAAGCTCTAGATTCTCAAGGCTGACACACTATTTTACTCTGATAAATATGGATTGTTTTTTTCTGCCCTGTTTTAGGAGCAAAAAGTAAGAATTGTGGAGGGTGAGAAAGGCCATCATACACTAGAGCTGTACTTCCTAGCCAAGGAAGTTCATCAGAACGATCTGGAAGCTTTTCTCCAAATGACCGCTGCTCATTGCTTGGTTTCTGATTCAGCCCTGAACTGTCCAGTCTGAAGAAGCTCTTGGAGTGATTGCCATGGACCACGATGCGAAAGCACCAGACAGGAAGCTAATGCACGACACAGACCTCTGCTTTCCCAAAGGAAACCACTTAAACACCAGCGCTATACATAAGGTGGGAACCAGTTAAGGACCCCTTGTGAGACCAGTGTTTGGAATCTCTCAGAGGGAAAAGATACCAATTCACGGGGCTTGTCACTCACCATCTTTCAGCTCCTGAACGTCCCTGGGTTGAACAAAATCTGGTTTGATATTCTCGAACCACCAGAAGAGTTCGGCAATGAAGGCCATCATGTTTGGCTAAAAGGAAAAACAAGAGACCAAGGACACAGTAAGTGGCTTATTCGTACATCATTTGGGAAGCGTTTGGAAACGTATCATTACCTTCAGCACTGCTGGGGCGCAGAGCACATCTTCCAAGGTGAGATAAAAGCACCTGTTGAGGTACTCAGTGGAGAACTCTCTCAGAAGCCGAATATTGTACAGACTGTCAGCCATCGACATCACCTCCTTCAAGCATATATCTAATAGAAAAAAAGAAAATGACAGTTTATCATATATTGTTTCATGAATGTATGTGTGTGGATATAAAATTCTGAACTGAAAAATATTTTAAATGAAGGTAGTAGTGATTCTTTTAAAAGGTGACAACACAAAGAGATTTAAACATTACAGTAAGTACTACAAGTAACACTAATATAGGAAGAAAACACTCTAGAAAAAGATCTGTGAAATCTCCAGGATCTGAATTTAATCGCTAACATCTAAAGAGCATAACAGAAATTACTTGCGATTTTAAAAGTGGGCTTTCAACCCAGACAGTAACAATCACCTTTCAATTTATAAAACGACCTTGCTGCATAAAGGTTAATGTTTACTTAATGTCTAACCCGGTTTCTTGTACCAGGGAAAATCCTCCACGTGAGGTCATCTCCATGACTAGTGGGGAGAAGAGAGCAGGCATGAAATAGGAAATGTCAGGCTCTCCAAGGAGTCACACAGGATGCTCCCCATCACAAAGCAGGAGACAAACTGTGGCAAGTCTCCCTCCAAGGCAGAGATGCCGAGTGTGCACTCCTGCCCCTGGGGGACAGATCTGCACCTCCCTGCGGGATGCCAGACTCTCCATCAGTACCAAGTGGCCCAGGGACAGCTCCCTGGGCACTGCAGATGCCCTGAGTTTGAGAGTTCTGTGCAGGGATCACTAGGACAGAGGGATGCGGCTCAAGACTAAGTCAGAAGTAGCTGCATTGATGACTTAACTTTGTCTGTAAATTAAATAGATATAAAACAGATTTGAGAAATGTAACTTATTTTAAAATAACTTCATTTCTACGAAACCATTTCCAAGGGTTTAGAAGCACAAAGCAGCCTCACAGCAGCCCAGACTCACTCATGAAACCTGACCCACCCAATGTCCTCACACCGTGAGCCCAAGAGAAACCTGCTATATGCACATTTATATTGTAAGAAATGTTTCCCTTTTAAAATTCTGATCATGAACTATTAAGATCACTCCCATATATCCAGATGGAACAAATACTAGCACCAAACTTGATCTGGTTCAGCTCTTTTCTTTCAGTAATAAAATACTGGACAGTGCTTAGGCCCCACCCACACCCCAGCCCACACGGCTCCTCCCACACATGTGCCAGTGTTCTATTACATGGTCTGTGTCACTTACAATTTAAGTAGTACACTGCTGACCCGGCTTTAATTTGCATGCATGACAACAAACTATACCTGTCATCCTGCAGCCTGCTTTCCCCCCACACTGAGTACTGCTTCCAAAAGGATCTATGTTGATGTGAGTAGATTTCAGTCAATCATTTTAACAGCTACAAAGTAGTACATAATTTTCACTATTTCAAAAACTGTCATAAGGCAAACTCCTGTACACACTCTGAGAAGGGCTTTACAGGCCACCTGGCTGGCACCTGCTCACAGCCCACCCCGGAATTCTAGGGCCAGTCACCTCCCCACCCTACCTCCATCCCGGTATCATCAGGCCTTTTAATTCTTGCCAGCTGGGTGGGTATGAAACGCCCCTTTCTGAAATGGCACACCCGACTCCTGGATGGTCTCACCCTTGACTTCCTCTTCTGTGAAAAGCCTGTTCCTATTCTGCCCCTGAGTTGTTTGTCTTTTTCTTAGTGATTTTCAGGAATTCTTTTAGTACGGTTACAAAAGGACTGTGTGGTGATCCACTGTCAAGACGTGGTGCATATCTTTTCCACAGATAGAGTTTACTGTTTAATCTAGCTTATCATATTCCTCTGTCACCATATGAATTTTAGCATGGTTAAATAAAAGAACCCCATGGACATACAATGGGGAAATAACAGTCTCTTCAACAGATGGTTCTGGCACAACTGGACAGCTACACTTCAGAGAATGAAACTGGATCACTGTCTAACCCCATATAAAAAGTAAACTCCAAATGGATCAAAGACCTGAATGTAAGTCATGAAACCATAAAACTCTTAGAAAAAACCATAGGCAAAAATCTCATGGACATAAACATGAGCGACTTCTTCATGAACATATCTCCTGGGGCAAGGGAAACAAAAGCAAAAATGAACAAGTGGGACTATATCAAGCTGAAAAGCTTCTGTACAGCAAAGGACACCATCAATAGAACAAAAAGGCATCCTACAGTATGGGAGAATATATTCATAAATGACAGATCCGATAAAGGGCTGGCATCCAAAATATATAAAGAGCTCATGCACCACAACAAACAAAAAGCAAATAATCCAATTTAAAAATGGGCAGAGGATCTGA